TGTAATTATATAAATCTCTCCACTGAGTATGTGTAATTATAATAAATCTGTCCACTGAGTATATGTAATTATAATAAATCTGTCCACTGATTATATGTAATTATAATAAATCTCTCCACTGACTATGTGTAATTATAATAAACCTGTCCACTGAGTATATGTAATTATAATAAATCTGTCCACTGAGTATATGTAATTATTGTTCTATAATATGTGCTTTAATAAAGTTATATATTTTCCTAAAATACATCAAATATTAACTATCTGCGTAAAGTGTCTTATTTTCCTATTACAAATTAGGCATTAAGTGTTTTGTGCAATTGGACTGTCTAAGTGGGCGTTTGAAAATCGATGTCTTAGTAACTAGATGGATCATGGAAAAATGTAGGGAGGGATGGTGTGCTTCGGATGTAACAATCTTACGACGGAGCCTTTTTCAATGGAAACTAAGATACAAATCTGTTTTCAAGATACTCAGTCGTCAGTCAGAGCATAACCGAAAATGGTAACATGGACTGTAACGACGAAGTAAGGCTCCAAAATTTAATGTCCTTATCCTTCGTATATTACAGAAGATTTTGTCATTATATTCAGACGCTTAAAGTTTGGTCTGTTCTAGAAGAATATACCATTATATAAAGACACTTAATGCCGTGGGCCCGGCATGGCCAGGTGGATAAGGCGCTCGACTCACAATCTGAGGGTCGCGGGTTCGAATTCGCATCCCACCAATTGCATAGATGGAACAACATGAATACCCGTTGCATTCCCCATCTGCTTTAAGCATCCGATAGTTAGACTGTCATGTGGTGGAAGCAATTTCAAACGAAATCGTTATTTATTGGGCTGCATAGGTGGCTTTTAGCACTAATCTTTGGATTCGTGGATACTTCTGCATTACAAGATGCCGCACTTTACTTACCATGGCTGGGGTACGACATGTCTGGTCGTACTCTATCTGACGTGCGTGCAACTTGACAATAGACCTGCAGCATAGTTTTCATTGCAAAAGACTCCATCAAAATGTTGCCATACCCAAAGCACATCATTCTCTATAACAGGCTCTTTCTAGATGGTTCTGTACCACAAATTGATCCATGTTTCTGTTTTCCAATAGCATTGAAAATATTAAAGAAAATATCCCCTGTGGCTCAGCGGTAAGTCTAAGGACTTACGACGCTAAAATCGAGTTTCGATACCATGGTAGACACAGCAATGGTAGCCCATTGTGTAGCTTTGTGCTTAATAAGAAACACTAAACAAACATAAAAAATATACTGAAATTCAAGTAATAGACCAATCGTTTATTTGACTTATTCTCACATAAAGTTTATAATATATGCGTATTATAGTAGTCTGTTTAGAATTGGTTGAGATCTGACATTCATATAGTCTAACATAACTAAACATGGATAATATGAGAACATAAAAGTGTTTTCTGACCAGTCTAAACTTTATCTTAGTATGCGTATTTGTTGTTTTATTCTGACTTTTCTGGAGAACAGGAATAACACCAGAGCAGAAATTTGCAGAGTTTATTTTATTTTACCTAACATGAACTGTAAATTGTCTTCAAATGTATAGTTATTATTTTACTTTAATGCAAGTAAAATGTATCTCATTTCAGTTGACATGTGCTAATTTTGTGCAGCTTCATAAACAAAGACTTTTCTTAGCTGAATAAATTGGTATTCTTTACCATTTAAATACATCATTGTAGTCTTATGTCTCCTCATCAAGCATAGACAAAACTTAAGATTCAGATTATACACAGCTTGGAAATAAAATTAACATTTAAATTTTAATATCATCAATATTTGCATCAAATGTGTGCATAATCATTCTTTTTCAGCTTATCTATATTTTTGCTGTAGTCTTACTGATATTTTCTCACACTACAACCGACAATGATCTCCTAAAATTCAAGCATTAAACGTGTTTTCAGTAAAAATATACTTTTTAAATATATTTTAAGTTCTTAATTTTTATTCATCATAAAACTTATTTCGCTTAGTTTTAGAATTATTTTATAAAACCATTTCTTTCTGTTTACGTGACCTTGAAATTAATACTTGAAGTAAACGGATGTAAACTAACGATGATGCAAATAGAAATTACTAACTCTAAGACAATATTTAAAAATAAAGGTAAAACCTGCGCACATCTGAACATGTCTGTTTTCTCTAAAACAGTAAAGTACATTTCCTGCTTAAGTTTCGATATTTTTTAATTATTGCTTTTTTCATTAAACGCATCGTGAATTTGTGTTTGTTAATGTTTTAAAAAGTCATAGGCTGCACATAGATAGCATAGATTGTTACTTGTAAATTTGATGACTTGCATCCAATCAATTTACTTAAGTAGTTCTGAAGATGGGTCAACTTATCATCATTAACAAACCTTTCAATGTATTCTTTTAATAGAATGTGGATTTAAAAATCATAGTTCAAATTATTAAGACTGTTCATTTTGTTATAATTCTTATACTCTGAGCTATATATTCAGTAGATAATACGATAATATCTGACTTTAAACATTTAACATTAGTTTTAGAGCAGATTCATAAAAAAACACTTACCAAATAATAGGGTCAGCATGTCCGCAACAGCTAAGTTGAACAGGTAACAGTTGGTGGCCGTCTGCATGTACTGATTACGTGAAATCACAAGACACGTGCAAGTGTTACCTATCATACCTGATAAAAATATCACGACATAAACAGTTGTTAGCGGTATCAACCAGTTTAGAGGTAAACGTTTCGGTCCCAGATGTTGACTTATATAAGTTTCCACATCGGTTACTACTGATGGTTCTATAGTTATGAGGCTGTAAGTAACGTTGAATAATGTATTTAGGCTGCTCATCTTCAATGAAAGAGAAGCTATGGAGTACTTTTGAAATTATAGCCTTTCATATTCAAAGTTGGCAAACATACTGAAGTTACGAAAATTGTGGAATATTCACTTTTCTAGGTATACACGTGTGAATTTTGATATTATACAGGGAGCATCAAAAATATTAAGTTAGTATGTTTATAAGAAATCAAAATAGTTATTCTGTAGGAACCACTTTAAAAAATCGTCCAAGACTAAGTATAGTCTTAAAAAAATGTTACTTAAGATTACACAATCAGCAGAAGCCTGATATGTCTAAGAAGTACCCTTACCTTCGATATCCATCAAAATCAAAAAGTTCCGATAACTTTACATTGCACAAATATATAAAGCCTGATGAAGTCTGATAAACTCGTCTTAACCTTAAAAATCAGAAGATAAACGTTTTTCTGATCAGCATGTTACTAAGAAACCTGACTATATTTAGTAAGTCAGCTTTCCCGTCAAATACTTGATGTTAGTCAGTCAAGAGAACTTATTTCTTGAACACCAACCATTGGTTAGATTTTTTTATATGTTTGATAATAAAGTATATTTTTAAATATGCTTTCCTTTTGGCAATGTTTATCCGTTACTATGAATGAAACTATCACACCCCAGTGAACACTGAATTACTACGATGACAATTCTTGTAGTGTTTCGTCGTTTTTATGTTGTTTTGATAGATGCCAAACAGTAACATAATGGTTACACGTCGCCGCCTGCTTGATACGTCTTGTTTCTTCAGTAACAAAGGCAATACAAAAACTAAAATCGACGCATCACTCTCACTTACACAATATAAGCAGGTCAGTACTTCACAAGAACCTCAAGCTTTTCCACATTTGTTACGTATTAGTATTATTTTATGTACATTCCAGATCAAACTTTCTGTATTTACAGTAGTAATCACTGTTCTATTTAACTAAAAACGATCACCAAAAAAATTTGACAGTCTATCATATATCTTAATAATTTATAAAATTAACGTATTAAAGCAAAGACAATACCAGATGATACCGATAAATAATACGAACAGTGTCCTTTACTGTGTTTTACTTGAAAAACTTTCACCACGTTGTCGTACTTCAATGGAGAACAACATCGAAAAATATGTTGTGGAAAGAGTGGCGACAGATGGTCTGAACGATTCGACGCTAGTTGCTAGATCTATCTGCTTGTAGCTATTCACCTCCTCCGCTTCTTCTTCCCCTATCGACAACCTGATGAACTACAAGCCAATAGCATTTTATTGAAATGTCATCTGTCAATAAATAATGCCCTACAGCTCAGGCTTTTCATCTTTCTTTTTACTACAAGACTTGGATAATTTGCAAGGAACATATACTAAGGTATCATACTATACTTAAGATGTGTACATAATTTATTACGAAAACATATCAGAACCACTTAAACTCTTAAACATACGTCGTCATTGGTATAAATATCCAACAAAGATGTATTAAGGTCTCCATAGAAAGTACTTAAAAACAGAAAGATATGAATAGATACATTTATCAAAATAAAATGAAAATAAAGAAAATTTTCTTGCAATTAGAACACTTATGATTTTTTTCCTATCTTGTAACCGGAAGAGAGGGGGCCATTTTGTCAGCCGTGAATAAGAGGTACGAATGACGAAGTAAACATAATTATTTGTTCCAGCTGTAGTTGGAATTCTTCTTGTTTTTAATATATGATCTATATACTAATGTATACGTTACTAATGAAACATTAATTTTCTCTTGTATATATTTTCGTATGGTTGACTACCACTAAGTACGATGGAAAATGATTTTACAGTACTGTTTTTTTTGCTTTGTGTAAGTTTAGTAGAAAATTGCATTAAAAGTACTACAGAGTTTCTTAGTTTCTTTTTCATTACAACTGACGATATGAAGACTAAAAACATACTTAGGCTCATTAAAAGTTTCGTTTCAATAAACAAGTATAAGGAAGTTTAGAAAGAGTAAAAGAACATTCACACCGTATGCTATGAAATGAAGCTTCATACTATAAAGATGATTCATTATGTGTGCTGTGCATGTGTGTATCTGTTATCAACCAAACCAGATTAGTAACTGGTCCGACAGTTTACAGGGCTATTTTGTTTTAGGATTTTTGCCCGAAAAGAGGGATAACAATCGTCTGAAATATAGCACATTTCCACTTTTTGTTTACTTTTGGCTTTTAGTTTAAAGACACAAGTAGTTAATCAGTTAATTGAGTCAATTATTACCTTCCACAAAGCATGGTATGCAAAAGCATCTATCAAGGTCATTAGAGATTTAATAACAAAAGAAAGAAGGAAAGGAAACATTATCTAACATTGTCTCAAGTAGTATTTTATAAACATTGTAGATTGATTTGTCTAAAGAAAAATAGTAAAAAATACTTAGAATACTAAAGAAGTTTCCTTTACTGAAATTAGGAATGGGACTTTTCAAGTTGGATGTCAACCTGTGCACTCGTTGGCTAAACGGCTATGTCAGAGAACCCTAGGGTTCAGATATAGTCGTCCATAATTTTGAAATACTGTCCAGAGGAAGAGCAAGTAGCCAGCAGTACTTTGTCTGCCTCTTGGAACGAAAAAAAAAAAGATTGAATCGTTATATGTAAGTACCAAAGACACAAGTATGTTTTAAAAGGAATGAAAATAAGGAAATATTATTCCTGAGTAATAATCTTCTAGCTTATATATCTCACATTATTAGCTCCGAGAATGAATACTGAATAACTAACAACCTGTTTCTCTCTATCTCCCGGTGGGTGAGCGGTAAGTTTATGGACTTAGAATGCTAAAATCCGAGGTATTATTCCCCGCAGTGGACAGAGCAGGTGGCCTAATATGGCTTTGCACAAAAACAAAACAAACTCTGCGTTCTAAAACAGAATATATATATATATATATATTTCACCTCTAAGTTACGTCAAATAAATGTTTGTATTATCGTGTAATAGGTGTTACTTAAAACAAAACATTATACCTATAGGTCATAGCCCAAAGTTAGCTTGGGCAAGTGGGAAACTTACTTCCTCATGTTTTCCTTACAATATTATCTGTTTCTACTTTTATGAATTCTCTCCTAATTTTCTGAACGTAACATTAAATACAAAATTTGCATGCCCAAGTATTTGTTATTTTTAGTCATGGGCTAGACGTACTTATAAGTTGCTCAGAGCGTGAATCCAAAGTTTCGAAAACGTTGCCATGGGTGTGTTATAAAAGAGGCGGTCAAATTCCACTATTTGATCAGACGAGAGTAGCTCAACAGTTAGCAGTAAATGTTCTTAACTAGTTGGCTTGCCTCTGATCTATCGGTTCAAATTAGGGGGATACTTGGATAACCAACCTTCGCACAAAAATTTTGAAACACTAAATTTATCGCAAAGTTGTACAATAGACTCGCTGCAGTGTTCTCCGAAGTGATCGAAGTGTGAATATTAGTATGTATTTTATTGTGATTCATATCATTAATTATGAAATTGTTTCCTAATTTTTATTTCCTGGTCGTAATATCTTATAAAATTATTTGATATTTAATAAAACATCTTAAACCTAGCAACTCAGTAAGTCGCGTAGGAATTCTCAACACATTTTATATTTCATGAAGTTCCCACCGACGATTCACCACATGCTAAAGTTATATTGTAGAAACCTGTTTCTAACGGCAACATTTCATTTGCACATCTCATCTTTGTCATCTTGAAAAATATTTACCAAATAGTTCATGTACACAAATTACGTGCATACAAAGGAAATAATACAATATAATGTAAACAGCATTCAAATACATTTTATATTAAACTTGAACTGATCTAATCTTATCATCTTCATGCTTGGTGTTTCGTGCGTGGTTAATATATAGGGTTTAATCGAACTTTATTTGAAAGATTTGATTACACTAATTGCCGTGACTTGTCGCAGATGAAACCACGGAAGATGTGTGTGTATATATGTTTGGTTCACTGCAAATTTTCCATCATTCAACAGTGCAATCCGGCTGCAATAGACTTATATCTGAATTAATATATCTATACTGTGAGAATGTTAAACCCTTATAACCAAAGGACATAACACAAGCAAATAAGAGAACCTTCTTCAAGACAGAAATAAACTTGCATATCAGAGAGTTCACGACAGTAACTGACTCCAAAACCATACCTCAACTCAATTTAGAGTACTGTCCTCATCCAAAAAGAAAGACTATAATTACAAAACAAAATCCACTAGTCCAGGAGCAAAACAATACACCATTAGCAAGACAAAAACAAAATTTTGAAGTTGATGAATGCTTCCAAACACACCTCAAAATCAATAGCTGTTTTTCATGAGAGAGACGGGCGAAAATTTTGGAATCACAATAATTCCATTCAACAATACAGCCATAATATCCCTCGTGCAGCTCAACTGTATTTTAGTGCTTCTAGTCAGCTTAAGTGTGATAATAAGTAGGCAAACAACAATTTATAAGCATAAGGAAGAGTTATATTGATGGTGGAACATACTACATGTTTCGACAGAACATTGGTCTGTCTTCTTCAGTTATAAGTGTGGTATTGATAGTCAACGTGTCTGTGGATAGTTTACTAAGAATAATAGCCCAATATCGATATATTTAGCCTTCACAGGAGCTTATTGCAAAAAAAATTATAGTCATAATCACGGGCATCAGACTAAGCATATTGAGGATGAGGAAAGGCTTAAGGATAGCGCTGGACCTGGAGCATCATTCTGGTAAACTTCAAGCCTAAGAAGTCTACCCTCGTGATCATTCCTTTAACATCTGCCTAACATAATACAGCTGAGAAAGATTCTTCACTACAAATTGTAATACACTACACACATAGAAAGTAATAAAGAAAAAATTGAATATATATATATATATATTTAAATTAATTGAAAAATGTTACTCAACGCCAAAAGTTAGGAAATTTTATAAAGGTTTAGAATAATGTGGACAAAATGTTAAAGTTTAATTACGAATATC